TTGGCGTACTCTCGAAAAAAACCAGGCGAGCTCAACCCAGTTAAAAAGCGCGACTGGCGCAGCCAATGATCCCAGGTTTGAGGTGCCATGTCGACAATTCTTGTTTGCCAATGCTCTCAAGAATTAAAATAGACCGGAATAAAAAAGTTCGATGTGCTAATTTCAGGGAATCAAAGTTTATGGTTCAATTTAGCTTTCATCTACAAATTTAAGGTTTATTTTGAACTTTTTCCATCGTGGTTAGACCCCGTGTGTATCATGGCATTGTCATCGTGTCGCCTTCACATTGTCGTGTGCATTCATTTAGAGAGGAAAGGTGATTTGGGTGTATGACGAGGCCATTGGCAGCCGCAAGAGGGTAGGAGTTCTTGGGGGAGCTGCCGAGAACGTCAGCCCGCACAGCTGCTGGTAGGCGGGCATGCTCCAATGGCTGCGTTGAGGGAGATGCCAAGGTGTATTGCCGCTTCGCCCGCTTCTATGGTGTCACCTTTTCTTGCTTTGTCCCTGCGATTGGCCGGCCTGGTAAGTGCTCCTCCTGCTCTTCCCGCTCTGTGCAGATGCATATTGTGTCTATCTCTGTTGATTAGCGTGTTGTGTTGAAGATACGTTTAGGAACTGGATGTGATGTGGAGCATTTTGGGGGTGTTTGTGTGGTACCCTATTTTCAAGGTATCTACTATTTTGGGAGCATATGTGCCAACTGGCATCTGTACAACAAGGTAGTATCTACTATTTAGGAGCACTGTGAAGAATCAAAGCTAATGGGTTTTCTTGTGACACATAAAATCTGCTAAAGATGGTGATATTACCAAAGACTTGATTGACACTGGCTGCTTCTTTTATTCCATTTTTTTCACGAGTGCTTGTGCGATATACATGTTAAAATTTTGGGGTTGGTTGGAAGAAATTGTCGTGTTGATGGGGATGTCTTGCGGTTTTCCCTTTGATTAAACGTGATGTTTCAAGCATAAAACAAACATAAAAAGAACCCCCACATCCACGAGCAGAAAACAACTGCTTGGCAAAGGGCGCCTTTGCTTCTAGTTTACGGTCAATCGTGGGGATGACCGATGCCAAAGTCCCTTAAGATTTCATAAATTACGAAATGTGCTTTTGGAAATCACATAATACAAAAGTTTAGGGAGGGGTGTGATTCCAAAATATTTGGATGAACTGGAAAGTATTGGAACCATTTTAAATTTTTTTGCACCCTTTCACCTTCAAAAAATCAATGTTTTAGCTAGGTCTTCTCCAGCTTTAAGATTATTTAGCGACATGTTTGCACCCACTAACATGAAATGTTTGGAGAAAGGAAGACAAAAAGATAACCCTAGGGATAATCCTAGGTCCGGCCTCATGCCTTCTAACCAGTTGCTATGGCGGAGGAGGTGGCGAGGTGCAGTGGCCGCTCAAGAAAGAAAGGAGGAGGGAAAGAGAGGTGGTGGTGGAGGAGAAAGAGGAGGAGGAGGTAGACAACCCTAACCGTCACAATGGAAAGTAGTGCACAAGTACAAAATGTCAAGTGTCGGTGAAGAATATGGGCCTACATCTCGTTTAGTGCTATGAAAAGAATATTTGTATATTATCGGCTCATCAACCTCATGTGATCATGTTAGATGTCATATAAAGTTGATATCATGATTTTTTCTAAACAATAGCCGGGCCAAAAAGACTCCTCATAGAAATTCATTACTTTGAAATAAACTGTTTTTGACAAGCTATACTTACGTAATTTTTATTATATTCGGGATGCTTCGTATTTCTTATGAACTTTTATACCCCCTCTGATCCATATTAATTGTCGTTGATTTAGTGCAAAGTTGTATTAAGTCAATGGCAATTAATATGGATAGGAGAGAGTAATAGATTTGAGTCTTTTTTGTGGAAAATAAATAAATAGAACCAGAGTTATTATTTCACAAAAGAAAGAAAGAAAGAAAAAAGAACCAGAGTTATACACGTCACGAATTGAGCGAAGATGCGAAAATTCGATATGGCTCATACTACCATATGGTAGCATTATCTGAGCAGTTGGTCTATCTTGGGATCCACGCGCACAGCTGTATTCAATGGTGTATTGCTACGGCGAGTTATTTATAGAACAGTACCCACGCGGCGTGTCCTTTCTCCTTTATGGCCAGGACCTACCTTCGTCCGCTACGATCTCGGCCGTGATTCTTTTTCTTGGACCGTCAGCACACGCAACCGTAAACACCTTGTACAAGTCCAAAATTTAAAAGTTCAAACTACCTCTCAGCACGGGCATGCCAGCCGCGTGGCACTGTGCGCCTCCAACATGCATGGTTTCCTTTCAAATCAACATCTACCAGAAGAGTTGCACGCATAGTACTGCTAATGCATTTATTCAGATATACACAAATAAAATTCAGTTATCTCTCAGTACAGTTTACTACACTTATCATGACAATAGTTCATTAGCGTGCAGTTACATCCACTTTGGCCCTAACCCCTACAGCAAGACACTGCGCAACATTACCCGCTGGCCTTGTTCTTCTTGTGCCCAGCGACACCACACTTGCTGCACTTGGCCTCCTTCCTCTGAACTTTCGAGACATCTCTCTGCAGGCTGGTTGTTCTTCTGTGGCCTTGAATTTTGCAGACGCTACAGAATCTACCCCTCTTACTCATGCCTTCCTAAGGTAGCCGATCTCTCGCGTTCGTTGGCCTCCCTGCACTTCTCTTATTTGATGGCACTCCCAGGCCAACCAAAGGATTGTTGTGGCCTGACAACATGACATCCTCATCTTACCCAGCTTTGCTATATATATCCTTCATCTACATTGCCTTGTTTCTTGCCAATTGCAAGATCCTCTAGTCCAAGCCCATACCTCGCCTGGCCGAAAGGAGCCATGAAAGTCATTGCTTAATTGAAGAGCCCCATAGTGTATCATAAGCTTCGACACTGGCGTCACCCAACAACTCCAACGCCTGCACATACATGCGATTATGCCGGAAAGTCAGCGATGTAGAGCCAAGCTGATCTCGCTGGTAGTGCTGCAGGTGCTCCGACAGTATTTCTCGAGCATCCTTGGTAGCACAACCTTCAGAATATGGTAGCACAACATGCCCATGTGCTCAAACAGCCCACATTCGCACTCAAACTCTGAGCCATTGTCAGCCATATAGGAAAACAACCCTGCTCCACTTTTCGCGGCTCTCCGGACGTGTGTGGGTTGTGCCTTGTACAATGCATGCTTCTCCACCTCCTCTATCTGATATCCCCCAGCCTTGTATAGGACTAGCCCAAACTGCTCAGAACATTGCACGGGTGTACACCTTGCTGGAGTGCATCTCAATGAAAGAATTTATCCATAAGACTACACACGCCTGCACAGAACATCATGTTAGAACTTAGGCATAGCTAGAAAGGTTTTGTCTCGATGAAACCCCACTTACAATTTTAATTCTCTTCTCTTCATAACTATACTCCTATTGGAGATCAAACAGCAACCGCATGTACTGCCTGACAAACTTATGCATCGGAGAGCCGGGTGACACATAGTTCTTGAGCATATGGTTCACACTCTCGCTCGTTTGGGTGCTGGTCAGTTTTCACAGAAAACATCCTTGAAATAAGGTTCGCACTCTCACTCCTACTGCATGAAGTTGTAGAAGTCGTACCCTCAGTCAACAAGTCAAAATTCATGCGTAATTCTGGCTTAACAACCTCCTCTCCATCTCGTTCCGCAAAGCCTCTTATTGTTTTTTCGAGGCCCCCCATCCTAATAGGACAGAGGGTTCTCTCTGCCAGGTTAGCGCCTAAACGAACTCTGCATGAAACTGGACAGCGGGATCAGTCTTTTTTTGTTTTTAATTTTGCATGTTCTCTCTCTGTGAAAACATGCTCCTTCATTAATGCACTCCAACACATGGAAAAGGAATAAATTTGACGGTTCCGCCAGTAGCCGACCAAGAAGCTAACATACATAAGCCAACCCAACCCACCGACCCCCCTCCCACCACCCTTCACACCAGCAACTCAAGCCGATCCTGGTGAACGACCTAAATGTAATCCCTTTTTTTGTGCCACACCAGGATTATTTTGATCGGATCGCGGGGGTGAACACAAAACATGGAAGGAAGCTCCTACTGTCTAGTACATCAGCAATTCATGGGGGCACCATCCCAGGGTCCATTTTTTATTCATTAATCTTATACTATGTCGATCTTTCTCTTGTCTTAATAAACACTAAAAAGGAATCACGAGTTCAGAATCGCAGACTAATCTACTACACAACATGTAGACCAACAGAAAAAGAAAACTGTAGGTAAATGCAGTGCTGGGTGTAAAATAATTGAGAAAAAAAATCGCTCTCTGTACTTTCCAATCCAGCCGGGCGATCTCGGGTCCGGCTCCGACTCCCCAGATGAGGCAGGGGCATTCTCCATACTCCCCTCGCCGCCGCCGCCGCCGCCGGGCACGCTCTCCGTCACGGAATACAACACTCTGAGGCGTCAACCAGCCTCTGACAGGGCACACGCTTTTTTACCTAGCCAATGGGCACGCACACAGTTACGGAACACAAAAAATTCTGGACCACAGTCCATGTACGATGTTTTAACAGGACCAGCGGTCCTTAACAAGCCCGCGACGCCGTTCTCACCGAGGGTGTGGGCCTCCCACGCAGTACATACGGGGTACTATACGCACCATGCGTTCGCCGCTCGACATACACCAATTTTTGCGGCTCGCGTGATTCGCATTGAATGTGATTCCCACCTGCCGATTCACCCATTGAACGGTCCAGATAATAATACCATATGCTAGTATGACCCATATCTTCACTCTCGCGAAGATGTACCCAATTTGGACGTGAGTACTGAATGTTTTCACGGACTTTTGACTTCAGCCCAAGTCAAGGTTCCCAAAAGGCCGAAGCCGCCAGCCCACCGCACACTGCCCCTCCCCTCCTCGCCCAATCCCCCCTTCTTCGTCCCACGACAGACCAATTTCTTCCCAAATCGCCACCGCCACCGCCATGATGTCGTCACCGGCAGATACCGCGCCGTCATCCTCCTCAGCGGCCTCGGCCGCTCCGAATCAGCATCCACAGCCGCCGGCGCAGCAGGCTGATACGAAGGAGCGGCGGATGGAGTCGCTCGGGTGGCTGACGGAGTCCACGGTGATGCCCAAGAAGCACAAGGCCATCGAGGGCGTCGGCGCGGCATCCATACTCGACCTCAAGGCCCAGCTCTACCGCACTCAGGAGGAAGCCCGCAATTCCACCGCCGCTGACGCCGCCTCCAGCGAGTTCCGCCGCGCCAAGAAACGCTCGGGCCCCGCCGACCCCCTGGGCGCCAAGAACTCAGGTGTAGACGCTCGTGCCCACAAGTACGTCCACAATTATCATTCTTATGGCATTTCTTCTGTGTGATTGTAGACTGGCTATTTTTTGTGCTAGTTTTGAGGAGAATTGCTTAATCAATCCTATGGCTTACCGTTTGTTAAGGCATTAGATTCCCATATCGATCCTCTGCACTAAGAGCGGAGACTAAGTAGCCGTGATCTCTATCTGTTAAATAGTCCAATATTGATTCCCAACATGGATCATCTTTAGGGCAGTGCAAACAACAAAAGCAGGTGTACATAGGTAGAGTCAGCTGTTTCTCTTCTACTCCTTGCCGATCTAGAGGAAACACTAGAGGCAACTAACATAATGGACTGCTTAATGCGGCGATCAACATTGGATTTTATGTGTGTGGGCTGTTTCTGTTGCTTGGCTGTAACAATTGCAATGCACGAATTAATGAATAAAGCTGTGAATTATGCACACAGTAGACAAGTTAAGATAACAGCACTTATGTGAATCAATCGTACTAGAAAATTGTATGTAGTGAAAATTTCCAGCTATTGCAACCAGGCAACACAAATAGTTGACCGAAGATAATATTCACTGTTGATCATGACATTTTCTTATTCCATTTAAGAATTAAGTACTAATGGACAATTTAAGAGATAACTCTTGTTTTCCTATTCTCTCCGCCTGATATGGAGGGGTGCAAGAGATAATAGCTGACTATATCTTTGACATGCCCTTACCAATGGTTGGTTCCGTGACTTGTGTTAGGAAATTATACTTGGCTGTATAGGGCATTAGATGTTTGTTAGTCTAATATGAGGACTGAACTATAACTGCATAAGCTCAATCTCTCTGTGCGGATGCACAACACCATTTTATGTGCTTTGCCAAGCCTAGATTGTGTTACCCTTGTGCTATACATGGTAGGAAGCCAGAGCTTCTCTAGGTTAATAATGGGTACTGGTTCACACTCGCAATTATTTTAGAAGGTGGTTCATATTCGCTATTCTTAACATGCTAATTTCTTGAGTGAAATGACAACATGTAAGTGTTTGCTTAGTGGTTGTACAGCTAGTAATTATAAAGGAGTGGACTGTTACATGTGCTGGTACATTGTGCGGTATTCCGCGATAACACGATTTTGCTTTTCCTAGCAACAAACATTGAAAATTAACAATGAATCTAATTGAAAGGAGATGCCTACTAAACCATCATTTGATTTTGCTTTTCTCAGTTCCAAGAAACTGTCATTCTGCCCACAGTTGCTCTTGTACCATGAGTATACTATCCTCGAAACAGGCTTTCGCCCCGCTTTATAGATAAAGCACCAACCGAACAAGTACACGGCCGAACGATACAAGATGGAGAGTTAACCCTCTTACAAAGCTGATCCTGAGATAATCAGCACACGCAGAACGCACGCGACCACTACCAACAAAGAGCACTGGGAAAACTAGACACACCCCACACTATGACCTAGCAAACCTAAGCTCCACGACAACGCCCTCAAGAGGGAAAACGGCGCAGAGCGTCGCCGTTGCCTAGTCCACACCGGACAAAGGTCTTCACCCGGAGCCCTGACACGGAGAGAAGAACCACGACGACGTCTTCAAGACGAGCACGACACCCACGGGCGCCGCCGCCGTCGGTGACGGCGGCGCCAAGGCACAGAGCTTTCGCTCGGCAACTCCCCCGTGTCACCACAAGGTTGCCAGGCGTAATGCGAAGTGCTAGAGTCCCATATCCGGATCAGGACACCGCCGCTCCTAGCAAGAGGGAACATCCGAGCTACCAGCCGCTGCACCTCCCGTTGCCCACACAACCCTGGAGGAGAGCCACCACCATCGCAATGATGCCCGCCGGAGAGCAACCATGCGAACCGCCATCCGGAGCCGCCACCCCGGCATCCCTGTCGCTAGATAGCATATGCCGCGCACATCACGGCACACTCAACCACGGTAGGAAGAGCAACGCCAGTCCGTCAACTCCTAGCCCGGCATCAGTCCCAGAGTCTGGGTAGGCGCGTCCACCGTAGGAGGCACCACGCCTGTGTCCCTAGCCAATCCCATTGGACAGGGAAGGCCACGACTCCAAGACTGCCGCCGGCCGCCGATGAGTCAGCTCCAAGCCCTTGGCCAAGCGACTCACACGACGCCATGTCCATGGTCACCGACGCCGATCCGTGCACCGACACAACACTACCACGACCACCACCACCGCTGCCATGGATCTTCACCAACGCCATAACGAGAAGACACCACCCCTACCAACCGCAGATGCCCATCTTGGCAAGGCCGGAGCAGATCCGGAGCTGCACGAGGAGCAACCAGTCCCGAGCAGGAGGACCGAGTCAAACTCCTGCCCCGACGACCAGCCTGCACAGTCGGCCCACTACCGGCGAACGCACCCAGAGGGGCGGGCACCGCCGCAACGGAAGAGAGACACATAGGCCGCCGACAACTCCGGTGCGCCCTGGCCCGTCATCGACTCCTCAAGCAAGCTCCTTCCCCGCCGTCCAGCGCCAAGATCACCACCGGACACCCTCTGCCTCGCCTCCACGCCTGCGGGAAGGAACCATAGCAACACCTCAGGCCGCCGAACGCTGGATCCCGTGCCACCCAGCGGACCTGGCCCGCGCTCGCCACCCAAGGGCGCCTGGGGGAACAGCCGCATCCCCCGGGCAACCGTGCCGCCCCCGCACTGACTGCCGCAAGGCCCGGCGCTCGCGGAGCACGCCACTGCCATCAACCTCCGTCGGCGCTGTTGACACATGAATACGTCACGTGTACCCTCGACGCCGGGGGTGATGCGCCGCAGCTCACGTCGAAGGAGACCCGACCGACAACGCGATATGCAAGACAGTCGACGGGCGCTTTTGCAAACCCAAAAACCCCACACCCCCGGGAGGGACACCGTCAGGGAGTGCGGCGGCTGTGGGCTGCCCTAGGTCGATTCGCTCGCCCCTAGAGCCTCGAGACTCGCAACTCTCAAACACGAAGAACAGCGAAGAACGAGAGAGAAAACAGTGGAGAGATAAAACATAGACTGAAAAAGTAGTATATTGATTTGTTCGATTGTGCGTTGTTCAATCGGCCGTCACCCGCAACATATATAAGAGGCGGCTGGACTTCCCGTACAAGTAAAGGATTCATCTAGTCTTTCCTTACACGAAAAATTACATCAATTCACGTCCTAGAGTCCTAGTTCTATTCCAACTCGGATTCAATTTGAATCTGGCCCAACTTCTGTCTTCCTCCTTGCGCGGGCCGTTGAGCTTGCATATGATCTCCGATCAAGGTGGCCCAAATATGAAACTTGTGCGCCACGACGATACGAACAACTCTTATGTTGATCATTTCTTCAAATAAAGCCATCTTGAATACTTTTCGAGGTCATCTTTACCTTCCAGTCAGACTCGGTCTTGCAGTAGACTGGATTATCTGAGTCTCGTAGTGAATTTGCAGGCCATATACCATCTCTGATGATGATGACTCCAAAACCAAAGTTTACCGTCTCGATGATATGCACAACTTCTGTATTGAACACTTCTTCATCCGATGTCATCTTGATAAACTTTTGGGCACATGTTCAGTTTCACTCGGATTCGAGCTCATCCACTCGGATATTAGAGACTTTCACTCGGATCGTTTGACTGGACTTTTTTCACTCGGAAGACAATCTTTCACTCGGATGACTATATTTCCACTCGGAAGGCAATATCTTACTCGATCGGCAAGTTTTTGTTCCGATGGTAATCTTTTCACTCGGAATATTTTCCCTTGGAGGACAATTTGACTCGGATGACCATATTTCACTCGGATGACTATATTTCCACTTGGATAATAATAAGTTCATCCGGTCAGCAAACTTTCACTCGATCAGTACGTTTTCACTCGGATGGTAAGCTTTTTCACTCGGATTTCTGGCTGAAAACACAGCCTGATCTTGTCTTGTCTTCCCAGGTCGCATACGACATCGGATTGAGATGAATTATGTATGAAAATCAATCAGCTAGACAAGACGAAACTTCCTCGTGTTGAAGGTTTTTCGATTCAAGGCCCTCTTGAGGGCCGAATTGCTCGCGCGACCCATCAGACACGGTGTTTGGTACCTCGCGCCATATTTTCGTTTAAGTTCAGTCTGCAGTATATTGCCTCTAACTTTTGCATACGAACTTGGATTGAGATGATTTATATATCAAAGTCGATTGCCTCGACGAGACAAAGACAATTTCTTTAGAGTGCTCCTTCATACGAGGTCGTCTTGAATGCGTGATCGGCCGAAAACCACTTGGAACATTGAATTCTGCCGCTCGGAGTACAATTTCGGCCCCTAAGATGGAGTCGGACGATGATAACCTAAACATCAAAGTTGTTCCACTCGGCGATGTGAAACTTTTCATGCTGAAAACCCTTTCACTCGAAGCCATCTCATTTTCTTTTATGCCGTGCCAAAATCTGAGGTCAACACATGCCCCCTGTTTTTCGGCAAAGCTTGCACGCCGGAAAATAATATGCACGGTGTTTGTTCTAAGGACGATGTCAACACTCCATCGGCCATTTATTTTCTTAGGGCGATAATTATATATCGGCCTTGTTTGTGCTAAGTGTGATAATCGTATATCTACCATTTCCTACTTATGCTTCTTGCCACACACTTGGGTGGTACTTCAAGTATTTGCCATTGAGAGCTCTAGGTAACACCGTCCCTTGTATGGATTCCACCAAATATGAGTTTCCGGGAACTATTCTTGTAATCCTAAAAGGACCTTCCCAACTCGGAGACCACTTCCCGAATTTCCCATCTCTTGAACCAATCGGTAGAATCACTTTCCAGACAAGATCACCAACTTGAAAATTCTTCAACTTGACTTTCTTATTGTAAGCTCTTGCCACCCTCAACTTGTCTCTCTCTATGGCCTTCAAAGCAGCCAAACGTTTATCGGCAACCTCATCAATATTGTCCATCATCAAGTTATAAAAGTCTACTGCCGATAAATCATTTTGTTTGGCTATTCTCAAAGCATTCAAATTTACTTCCACTGGTAAAACAGCCTCTTGACCATATACTAGCTCATATGGAGTCACCTTCGTAGCACCATGCCTTGAAATTCTATGTGCCCACAAAGCTTCAGACAACAACTCATGCCATCTCCTCGGATTATCCTCAATCTTCTTCTTGATGAGCTTGATTAAAATTTTATTGCTAGACTCGGCTTGTCCATTAGCTTGGGCATAATACGGAGAGGAATTGAGCAACTTTATATTATAAGATTCGACAAACTCTTTGACTTGGTGTGACATAAAAGATGAACCTTGATCTGTAGTTAACGTTTGTGGAATACCGAATCTATGAATAATGTGCTCGGTTATGAATTGAATTACCTCCGTATGTGTCATTGTTCTTGAGAGGTACTGCTTTAGACCATTTAGTGAAATAATCAGTTGCCACCAATACGAACCGATGCCCTTTTGAGGAAGACGGATGGATTTCTCCAATGAAGTCTAAACCCCAACCTCTGAAAGGCCACGGCTTGATAATAGGATGTAACATAGCAACAGGAGCTAATTGAATATCACCAAATTTTTGACAAGCTTCACACCCCTTATAATATCTGAAGCAATCATTAATCATAGTCGGCCAATAAAACCCAGCACGCCGCAATAACCATTTCATCTTGGGAGCCGACTGATGAGTGCTACAAATGCCTTCATGTACCTCTCCCATAGCAACTCTTGCCTGGTCCTTGTCCAAGCACTTTAGAAGAACATCATCGACTGTTCGGTGATAAAGACCGTCATCTCTCATTGTATACTTGAAAGCCATACGCCGAACAGCCCTGTCCACCCTTTCACTCGGATTGCACAAGTAATCAACAATGGGCTTCCTCCAGTCGGTATTGTCACCTGCACTAGATTTTTTGTTAAGGACCGAATCAGTGGGTTCTGGTTCGACCTCTTCAATACTGGTAAGACAAGACATCGGACTTTGAGAAATATGAAACATGCCATGATCAATATGATATCCAGATGCTTGCTGTGCCAACTCATTTGCTTTCCAATTGTCATGTCTAGATATATGTGCAATGCTAAAACAATCCGAAGTAGAAATTATATCTAGACATTTATCAAGATGAACATTAAGTGATTCATCCAAACACTGAAAGACTTTGGATATTTGCTGCACCACTAGTAACGAATCACCGTAAGTCTCAATATGTGTAACACCTATAGCAAGTAACATCTCTAGGCCGAATAACAATGCTTCATATTCGGCTTGATTGTTTGTGCAAAAATATTCTAAGTGGCATGAGACTTCAAAAACAACACCATGAGGAGATATATAAACAATACCAACACCTTGGCCATTGCTACAAACTGAACCATCAAAATATAATCTCCATGGTACTAATGAAACAAGGTTCATATCAACATCATGCTTGTCATTGATCTGATGTTCAACAATAAAATTAGCAACAATCTGGCCTTTCATGGATTTTAGAGACTCATAAGCCAAATCATATTCAATTAAAGCATAAGCCCACTTGCCAATTCTACCATTAAGAATTGGCCTATGCAACATGTATTTAATGACATCGGTTTGACAAGCTACTACACAAGCACTCGGCACTAAATAATGTCTCAATTTTGTGCAAGCATAATATAAACATAGACATAATTTTTCAATAAATGTATACCTTGTCTCGGCGTCCAACAAGCGCCTGCTCAAATATGTAATAGCATGCTCTTTTCCTTCGGTTTCTTGAGTCAAAACAGCACCAATAACACCTTCCTCTGCTGCGGAGGAGTGCACAAATAACTCTTGATCATATCAAAGGCTTCTTGCTGTTTTGGCCCCTAAGTGAAATCAACATCATTCTTTAACCGAAGGATAGGAGTAAATGCATCAACTTTCCCTGATAGATTAGCTATGAACCTCCTCAAATAATTGATCTTGCCAAGGAACTTTTGCATATCTCACTTCCATATTGGAGCCTCCACTTTCTGTATGGCCTCTATCTTTTTGGGATCAATCTCTATGCCATCTTCATGAATAATGAAACCCAAAAACTTGCCAGCTGACACGCCGAATGCACACTTCAAAGGATTCATCTTCAGCCCATACTTTTTCATTCTTTCAAAAGCTAAACGCAAATCGGCCAAGTGAGACTCAAAAGCATCCGATTTGACAACAATATCATCAATATAAACTTCAAGTATGACACCGAGTAAATCATGAAAAATTAAATTCATAGCCCTTTGATACGTGGCTCCAACATTTTTTAATCCGAATGCCATCACTGTCCACTCGAATAAACCAAGGAAACCAAGACATCGGAAAGCCATTTTGTACATGTCCTCTTCGGCCATAAAAATTTGATTGTATCCGGCATTACCATCTAGAAAGCTAATAACCTTATGTCCAGAAGCATCATTAATAAGCATATCGGCTATTGGCATGGGATACTCATCTTTGGGTGTAGCCCTATTCAAATCTCTGAAGTCAATGCACACCCTCGACTTGCCAGATCCTTTCTTCTCCACTGGGACAATGTTAGAAATCCACTCGGCATATCTGCAAGGTCGAATGAAATTAGCTTCAAGCAGTCGACCGATCTCTTCCTTGATTCGGTCATATGTTTTCGGATTAAACTTTCTGGCCAACTGTTTATAAGGTCTAAACCGGCCTTTATAGGTAACCGATGCTCCACTAGCTCCCGGCTTAAACCTGGCATCTCATGATATTTCCATGCAAAGCAACAAACATATTCCTTCAATAGCTCGATTAACTTAGCTTTACAATCGGCTTTCAAATTTTTGTTTACAAACGTCGGTCGAGTGACTGAACCATCTCCAATATCTACCTCCTCTAATGGATCGGCCGATGTAAAACCTTGTCCAAGTTTATCCATGTCATCCAACTCCTCTATAGACTCATACATATCGTCCTCACTGGACCGATATTTTGCAAGACGTTTTTGTAACCACTCGGAGCTAGAATCCATTTAAACATATCATACCTTGGAGCCGATTGCATTCACTCGGCTTTAAAGAAACGGGCACAAAACCATTCTTGGTCGCGTTGAGAAAATCAAACTCGGATAAATCATGTCCCGTCAAGCAAGTAGCATTGGGATGTTGCCAATCCACTGATGCATCGGCCAAAGCAACACAGGCCGAGTTATCCGCATGAATGACTTACACTTCATCATCAACCCACTGAATCAAAAACTGGTGCATAGTGGATGGCACACACTGGTTTGCATGAACCCAATCACGACCTAGTATGACGTTGTAGTTACCTTGCACCTTAGCGACAAAGAATGCAGTAGCCAAAGTTTTGCTTCCGACTGTAAGTTCCACATACATTACACCTTTGCCTTCAGTTTTCTCTTTGCCTTCAAATCCGTTGAGCACCATATTGGTCTTGATCAATTCTTCATCAGGCAAACCCAATTTCTTGAAGACCGAATAGGGCATAAAGATTTACCACAACACCACCATCAACAAGCATCTGAGTGAGCGGCGACCCATTGATATGACCTCTGAGATATAATGGTTTCAGATGCGTTACTTGTTCTTTTGGCTTCTCGAATATTGCGTTTTTAGGGTCAAAATCCATCTGAGCCACCTCCCCTTCCTCATCTACAGCACGAAACTCAGCAGGTAAGTAATACATCATATTGATATCCATACCTTAATGAACCGGCGTAGACTCATAGTCCAACATATCAGCCTCCTCCTCGAGTGCATCCACCGATTCTGAAATTTGTCCGAGTGAAGAGGAAGCAATAGGTAACATAGACGATGCAATGATTGCGTCGTCCTCTTTTGGTAGTGTAGGTGCTGCTGTGATAGGTGTAGAAGCCACTGCATCTTGTATTTGTTTGGGCCTCCACACTTGTTTTGTAGGTACCATACGCCGAGTGTCATTGAACAACTTATCCCTTTGCTTCTCGGCCTCTTGTTCTGCAATCTCTTGACTCCTTAACCTCTGTAGTTTCCTTTTTTGTGTCTTTGTTAGCCCTGGAGGACACCACTTTGGCTGAGTGTATTTAGGATCTCTCGTTTTTACTTGGCTGGTGCTTGCTTCATGGTCATTAGCCGAGTGCTTTGGCGCGATAGCAAGTATCGGCTCAGTCGGATTGCTATGCACAATCGGCTGTTGTATGGCGAATGTCTCGGTGCCCAAGATAAGTGAGTCGACATCCATTTTTTCCTTGCCTTTTCCCGACTCAATTGCTGCAACACTTGGTGATTTAACACACCATTCTCTTCGACTTTCCAGATGCATGAAATTTTCACTCGGGCGCACCTTTTTACTCTGATGGAATCCACTCGGATGGATGTCACTCGGATGGAATTCACTCGGATGGAATCCACTCGGATGGAATTCAGTCGGATGGAATCTACTTGGCCACATTTTTTCACTCACATAGCTTCCACCTGGGTGCATTCTTACACTCGGATAATTTCCATCCGGTCGCATGTTTTGACCAGCCGACCGATAGTTACCGATGTTCAGTCGACCATTATATGAGTGTTCAAGTCGGTCCCAAACAGTTTGCCTCTGCTCTTCTGGAAATAGCGCGTTTGGTCCACTTGGTTTCATATACTGACTGAACATATCGTCTGATGGTGACCTTGGTCGCTTCAAGTATGATGGACGGTTAGAGCTAGAACCAGTCGACTGATTGGCATATTTGGACAGCAACATATCAAAAGTTGGTTTGATCCGCTTGCGCTGTACTTTAACTTCATTCCTTTTCCACTTGCCAACTTCAGGACCCTTGGGCTTAACAAATTTAACTCGAGTGTCCTGCTGCACCTGTGCTGGCCCCCCGAGTGTAGGATTCTTGATGGTGATTTTGATCACTTCCTTGCCATTGGGTTGCTTATCAAGCACAACATGCCTCCCCAAGACCTTGTCGCCCTCCTTGTCTTTCCTGGGCTCACCAACAATGGCATTAGCTTTATTAGCAGATTTGGCTACCTCCGGCCGAATGAGCAGCTTCTTCCCTTCTAGATCCATGGTGTTCATTGGAAAGGGTTGTTTATCAACTTGCATCTCAGAAAAGTTCAATCGTCCGTCATTAATGGCCGATTGTATCTGTCGTCGAAAAACATTGCAATCGTTAGTAGCATGAGAAAAAGAATTATGATACTTGCAATAAGCACGCCGTTTCAGCTCTTCAAACGACGGTAAAGTATGAGATATTCTAATAACCTTAGCCTGCAGCAAAGCATCAAATATCCTATCACATTTAGCAATGTTAAAAGTAAACTTCATCTCTTCATCACGATTCTTATGAATCGGTTTCAGATCATTGCAAGTAAAGGGTTTGGCCTTAGATGGCCAAACAAATTCAGTAGCAAAAACATCACCCTCATCGCCCGAGTGATCACTATCATATTCCATCATATTCATCTTTGGACGATCGACTTTGTATCTATGTACTTCTTTGAGATCTTTGCTTCGGCTTTCCTGAGCCAAAGCCCTTTGTAAGACTTGGTTGATATTTAAGAACTCATAACTTTCTAGCTTTTCTCTAATGGGAGTTCTCAAACCACTCAGCACTAGGTCTGCCAAGTCTCTCTCGGTTATCACCAAACTAAAACACCGGTTTTTTGTTTCTCTGAATCTCTTGACGTAATCGGAGACCGATTCATCATGCTTCTGTTTAACCGATGTTAGATGTGACAACTTGAGTTCATTGTCGCCGCTATAAAAGTGATCATGAAATTTCTGCTCTAACTGCGACCAAACTCGAATGGAACCATGTGGTAAAGAAGAAAACCATGAAAATGCGGTACCAGTTAATGATAAAGAAAATAAACGCACTTTCAACTCATTTAGTGAGCCCGCTTCACCTAATTGTGCCAAGTATTGACTAACATGCTCCCATGTGGTTTTTGTGCCATCTCCATTGAACTTAACAAAATCTGGAATCTTATGTCCCGGAGGGCACTGGATGGCATCAAAGTACTCGGGGTACGACTTTTGGTAAATCCGATTCCGAGGTAACTCAACTCCAAAATTTTCTTGAAGCATCTTAGCCATCTCCTCTCTAAGATTAGCTAGACCATTATCCATAGTGGACGATGAAGCTTGTGGCAGTGACATAGGAGTAGGGTTACTAGCTGTAGGTAGGAATTGTGGTATGTATGTCGACCCATAATTTGGTAGTGGTCGAGTGGTTGTAGCTGTAGGTAGGGTTTGGTTCGGCGTTGCCACCGAACCTGGCATGCTCATAATAGGATTAATGGGTGCAGCCACAATTTGATTTGTTTGGGTAGGATAATAAGCCATCGGCACGGGAGGCGCTGATGAAATAGGTAAAGCCAGATTAGGGTTTTGCACACTAGCAGCTACATCATCATTACCACTAGACGATTGAGATATATTTTTCTGAGCATTAGTATTTTCTATGAAAGTATGATAGACTAGATTGTTACCATCAGCAATACGACTCAATCTCAGCCCACTGCTCAGGAGAAAAGGTAGTACTCACAGAGGGTTTAACCTGCTCGGCTTGAAGAGGAGGGAACTCGATTTCTTCAATCGGAGTGATGTTGCCTTGGCGATCCTTCTTGAATTTTGCAAGGAACTCCTGCAAATCCTTCTCTTCACGCACCTTCTTGTACTCCTCATAGACTTGGCGATGATCGGCCGATATCTCATCAAGACTAGGCTTAATGATGTTATCGACGTCTACCTTAGATGGCTTGGGAAGATCGGACATGGTGGACGATGACGATTGATCTTCGGTCCCCAGTGGAGTCGCCAAAAAGTGTGTTGACACACGAACACGTCACGTGTACCCTCGACGCCGGGGGTGATGCACCGCAGCTCACGTCGAAGGAGACCCGACCGACAGCGCGATACGCAAGACAGTCGACGGGCGCTTTTGCAGACCCGAAAATCCCACACCCCCGGTAGGGACCCTGTCAGGGAGTGCGGCGGCTATGGGCTGCCCTAGGTCGATTCGCTCGCCCCTAGAGCCTCGAGACTCGCAGCTCTCAAACACGAAGAACAGCGAAGAACGAGAGAGAAAACGGTGGAGAGATAAAACGTAGACTGAAAAAGTAGTATATTGATTTGTTCGATTGTGTGTTGTTCAATCGGCCGTCACCCCCAACATATATAAGAGGCGGCTGGACTTCCCGTACAAGTAAAGGATTCATCTAGGTTTTCCTTACACGAAAAATTACATCAATTCACGTCCTAGAGTCCTAGTTCTATTCCAACTCGGATTCAGTCTGAATCTGGCACAACTTCTGTCTTCCTCCTTGCGCGGGCCGTTGAGCTTGCATATGATCTCCGATCAAGGTGGCCCAAATATGAAACTTGTGCGCCACGACGATACGAACAACTCTTATGTTGATCATTTCTTCAAATAAAGCCATCTTGAATACTTTTCGAGGTCATCTTTACCTTCCAGTCGGACTCGGTCTTGCAGTAGACTGGATTATCTGAGTCTCGTAGTGAATTTGCAGGCCATATACCATCTCTGATGATGATGACTCCAAAACCAAAGTTTACCGTCTCGATGATACGCACAACTTCTGTATTGAACACTTCTTCATCCGAGGTCATCTTGATAAACTTTCGGGCACATGTTCAGTTTCACTCGGATTCGAGCTCATCCACTCGGATATTAGAGACTTTCACTCGGATCGTCCGACTGGACTTTTTTCACTCGGAAGACAATCTTTCACTCGGATGACTATATTTCCACTCGGAAGGCAATATCTTACTCGATCGGCAAGTTTTCGTTCCGATGGTAATCTTTTCACTTGGAATATTTTCCCTTGGAGGACAATTTGACTCGGATGACCATATTTCCACTCGGATGACTATATTTCCACTTGGATAATAATAAGTTCATCCGGTCAGCAAACTTTCACTCGACCGGTAATTTTCACTTGACCGGTACGTTTTCACTCGGATGGTAAGCTTTTTCACTCGGATTTCCGGCTGAAAACACAGCCTGATCTTGTCTTGTCTCCCCAGGTCGCATACGACCTCGGATTGAGATGAATTATATATGAAAATCGATCAGCTCGACGAGACGAAACTTCCTCGTGTTGAAGGTTTTTCGATTCAAGGCCCTCTTGAGGGCCGAATTGCTCGCGCGACCCATCAGACACGGTGTGTGGTACCTCGCGCCATATTTCCGTTTAAGTTCAGTCTGCAGTATATTGCCTCTAACTTTTGCATACGAACTCGGATTGAGGTGATTTATATATCAAAGTCGATTGCCTCGACGAGACGAAGACAATTTCTTTAGAGTGCTCCTTCATACGAGGTCGTCTTGAATGCGTGATCGGCCGAAAACCACTTGGAACATTGAATTCTGCCGCTCGGAGTACAATTTCGGCCCCTAAGATGGAGTCGGACGATGATAACCTAAACATCAAAGTTGTTCCACTCGGCGATGTGAAACTTTTCATGCTGAAAACCCTTTCACTAGAAGCCATCTCATTTTCTTTTATGCCGTGCCAAAATCTGATGTCAACAGGCGCCACCGACCAAGCCCCTGCGCCAGATCGATTGGATCTGGGTAGAGCCTCGCCCGCGCGCCGCCTCCTGATCCGGAGCACCGCAGCCACTGCGCTTCACCAGGCGCTCGACGCCGACGCGCCGCCACCAGGAGCCGCCGTCCTGCGCCGGCCACTCCGAGCAGAGGAGAAGAAGGGGCCCCGCCGCCGCCGCACCAACCGGGCTTTGCCCGTCAGCGCCAGCCGGCAGTGGCGGGGGAGGAGGGGAGAGGTGGGGGCGAGGGGTCCGGCGGCTAGGGTTCCCCGCGGCGCTCGCAGGAGCGTCGCAGGAGGGGAGGAGGGGGTGCTGGGTCTGTTCGATCGCTCTTCACCTTCTTCTCACCATGAGTATACTATAGAATTACCATTCAATATAAAGCTATCTGTTCTGCTTTTTGTGTGGCATACTGGCATTTCTAAGCATCTTGATTTCACTCTATCAGCATATAATTATTTTTTTCGTTGTATCATTTTCACATTTTGGCACCCTTTTCATTTTGCTCTTGTCATCTTGTGCATGCTCTTGGTGTTTACTAATGTCTCTGTAATATTTCCTTTTGCAACAGGGATAAGCTGGAGCTGAAAGCTGTGAAAGATGGTACTGCATGTTATTCTGCCCTAGAAAGGAAGGCTGAGCTGTATGAGAAATTATCCAGGGGTGAGCTACCTGATGAAGAAGACCAGGAGAAATATTGCGTTGATTTCTTCCAGAAAAGTTTTCATCAAGTCAGCGTGCGCCGGCAGCCAGAGACTGCTACTGCCCCTGAGCATGTAGAACAAGAAAATGAGAGTGTCGATTCTATGCCAAATCCCAAGCCAATGGGCCTTGGACGAACTGGTACAACAGTTGACCAAGATGAGCACAAACGCTTTGTCAGGTACTGTTTACTTTGGGCAGTTGCTGCATTGATCCACTGAATTTCTGTGCCAGTCCTTGAGAAGTCAAAGTAGAAATTGCTCTATGGCAGATGCATAACAAAATTGGAACTGGCAGTTCCAACACTTGTAATCATTTGACACTTGCATAAACCACTGAACATAAATCGGGCTCCCAGTTGCAGTATCCATTACATGCCTTTTAGTGCTGGTAATTGTGCATGGTCACTTCTCTTAGCATGCCATGCCCATGTAGCCATAGATCACGTGTTGCGCCCCATAACAACAGAGTCATGCCCCTAACAAAGCACATTGTTAACTAGTAGTTTCTTTCTGTGAGTACAACCATTTGTAAATCTGTACAAGCTGTGTTCAGCTGCTTCATGTATGGACTAACTGTAGATATAGTTTACAAGGTACCAAAACTGTTTTGTAGTATGAGCATTGCAGGTCGTGGTGTTAGGTGGGACTACAAAACTACACTCTGAATTCTCGATGTTCTCATGTTCCTTTTTTTTTGAAACGGAGGCAAAAGATATCCTTTCTATCCAAGTAAATATTTGAACTAAATGTTTTTAGCATGAACTGCATTACTTTGGTTTTATTTGTCATAAATATTTCCTCAGTTTGCTGATCTAATTAAAATGTGCCTTGGTATAACTTACAAGTAGTAGTTTAGTAGAGCACTCTTAGCTGGTGAAGCACTTATATATGACACAATAGTCATACAAACTTTCCGTGCACCTTAAACTGTAACGCTTGGGGAATGTGGCCTTGTATGGAGAGACAGGGATACTGATACCCCAGGAGATGTGCAAGGGTTGAGAGTTTGAGACCATCGTGTGAATCCAGCTAATCGTAGTCGTGCGATGAGAGACACCTCATTGATAATAAACTAGAAAGATTTTCCATGGTCCATGTTGCTCCAGCCTCCATGCATTCTCTTGAGTGGGATGAGAGTATTACAATGTTCGTAAATTCAAATTTAAAACTGATGCTTTGTGCAGTATAAAATGTGAAGGCGAAGGATTCAGTCCTTGCTAGCATCCCAAGTTATCATATGTCATGTTTCCTTTGGCCTAAGGAATCCCTTAGTACGTTGGAAAAATTGTTGAGGGCTTTTTTCTGGCAAGGCAAGAGCACAGTCAAGGGAGGCCAATGCCTCGTTGCCTGGCATTTTGTCACTCTCCCAAGATCTGCAGGCGGTTTGGGCATCAGGGACCTTCTTGCTCATAACCAAGCTTTGCTCACCAAGTTTGCAGCTAGAGTTTTGCAGACCTCGGAAATCCCCTGCTTTCAATGGTTTGCCCAGCAGTACTGCAAGCTCTTTATCCCTCTCAAAGGCTCAAAACCGTGACACGGCTATATGGAAAAACTTCAAACCTTTTATTCCTACAGTGTTGGCATCTTCCAAGTGTTCAACGGGTCCTGGCAAGCTTATCTCCTTCTGGCATGATCTCTGGTTGTCAGCGGGGTGACTACGGTTCTTGTTGCCCGCCCTCTTCTCGTATGCTAAAGATGGCGCTTGCACGGTGGCCTCTCAGCTCTGCAACAACACCTGGTGCATTCAACTGCACCCCAACCTGTCGGCCACTGCCGCCCATGAACTGCAAATGCTGCACTCTTTTCTACCCCAGCCTCCTACAGATGCTGCAGTTTCCGGCTCAGACGTCAGAGTTTCTGCTATACACCATAAGCCACTGACTACTTCTCAAGTCTATCAACTTTCTACCTTCAGAGGTGTGGCCTGTGAGTTCAGCTCCTGGATTTGGGACAAGATCATCCCTCTGAGGTATCGCGTCTTTCTCTGGCTGGCTTTTTGGGGTCGACTCAACACACGAGATAACATGATTCGGAAACATTGGTCCCTACTTACCGAGCACCAGGACTGTGACATTTGCCCTGCCAGCGAGTCTGCCAGCCACATTGTTCTGCGCTGCTTCCCGGCTTCTGTTATCTGGGCCACGTTCCATATGAACGACCTTGCCTCTAGCTCCACGGACATCGTTCATTTTATGCACAGAGCTCAGCAAGCTTGGATCAACTCTAGAGGAGTGCACATTCTTTTCGCTGCGGCGGCAGTTACTCTCTGGCACGCGAGAAACGACAGAATCTTCAACAACAAAAGATGGCCCCCGTCCTATCTCAGAAGGTATATGTCACAACTCCTTCAGGCTTGGCAGCACCGGGCAAAATAGCAGGCTGACAAGGATGCTATTACGAGATGGATGTATCTCCTGAGCTAATTTAGCTTTGCAGTACTCTTCTTCTCTCCTCGCTTGCCCTGTTCTTCTCTCTCTCCAATGGCTGCTTATAGCCATGGCACTACGGTGCTCAATGTAAGCTTCATGTAACTGACCCTTTGGTCCCAGGCCTTGGCCTGTTTGAAATATATAAGGTAGAATCTCATCTACCTTTCATTTAAAAAAAAAGGATATGTAGATCCCTTGATTGTATACTATCATTACCAGATGCTACCATTGAATTTGCAACCTGAACGATTTTGTCTCCCTCTGAGAATAATATTTCTCAGGTCTTTGACTAACTTGCACCATGGCATGTCTGCAGGGAGGTTCACGACGAAGTAAGTCAAGCAAGGCAGAAGGCTTCAACGATGAAACACCGGCGACAAGAGCAGGAGTCGGCTCGTAGAGAGAAACTCAGGCAAGCTTTCCTCAAGAAGCGCCTTGACAAGTTGATGGCTGAAAAGCAAGCATCTTCAGCGAGTGATGACCAACCAAATAGCTAATCGAGATTTTGTATGTCTTACACTTGTGCCCAGGAAGCAGTTGTTGTAGCTCATGTGGTAATGGTTCATGCAACTGAAAATGAGAAAACTTGCCCTGCATGTGATCTCTTGATCTAGCGAAATCAAATTCAGAAAATTGTCTTGGCATGTACAGTCGGTTCATCATCATATTGTTATACAATTATGCAACGTAGATGTAATTTGAATCTTCTGACGAGGCATTTTGACCCTCAACTGATTTGGGCCTTGGGCAGATTCCTGCAACCTTGTTTCTACTTTTAGATGCTTCTCGTCGAGGTCGGGCATATCATTGTCTTCTCCATCAGAAGTTGGCGAATCGTGTGCGCCCAACTCTTACTGTAATCCACTAGTTCTAATCTCTCGGCACAGAGAGGAGAAAGAAGCAGGTTCCATGCTACCCTGAATGGATGATGGAATAAAGACCGAGGATAAAAAGTTTCGCCGCGCTTTCTGCGATTCTTTTCAGCTTGAAACGAACTATTCTCGCGGAAGCTTAAAGGCAACACTGCGTGGCTCGCGACTCCACGGTGAAGGAACGATCCATGGCCAAGCCGGCTCCGACTAAGAACGCCGGCGACGCAGCAACGGCGGTGGTGCCAGTGCCGAGTCCGTTCGAGTACCATGTCTATGGCCCCCGCAAGCTGTCCTTCACCAGCTGGAGAGATCTTCTTAGCTCAAGCTGGTCAGTACTCTACTCCGTATGTGTTTGTACTGCACTTGCTCAAGCTAGTCAGTACTGCACTTGGACGGGTGCATAATTTGCGTTGCACCTTCGCGTAGCTTTACCGGGAGTTTGTTGCGATGGTTTGATGCAGGAAGAACCCCAACTACCGGCGGATGGTGATCGCGTGCTTCATCCAGGGGGCGTACCTGCTGGAGCTGGACCGGCAGGAGAAGCGCGACGAGCGCACCGGCCTCGCGCCGCAGTGGTGGCGCCCGTTCAAGTACAGGCTGGTCCAGGCGCTCGTCGACGAGCGCGACGGCTCCATCTACGGCGCCGTCCTCGAGTGGGACCGCCAGGCCGCGCTCTCGGACTACATCCCGTTCCGCCCCACCAGCGCGCCCGCCGCCGTCGTGGCGCTGCGCGGCACGCTGCTCAAGGCGCCCACGTTCCGCCGCGACGTCGTCGACGACCTCCGCTTCCTGGCCTGGGACAGCCTCAAGGGCTCCGTCCGCTTCGCCGGCGCGCTGGCGGCGCTGCGGGCGGCCGCGCGCAAGTTCGGCGTGGCCAACGTGTGCGTGGGCGGGCACTCGCTGGGCGCCGGGTTCGCGCTGCAGGTGGGCAAGGCGCTGGCCAAGGAGGGCGTCTTCGTGGAGTGCCACGTGTTCAACCCGCCGTCCGTGTCGCTGGCCATGAGCCTCAAGGGCTTCGCCGAGACGGCCGGCGAGCTGTGGGGCCGCGTGCGCGCTTGGATACCCTACATGGGCACCCAAGCCGGGGACGCCGGCGGCGGCGGCAACAGCGAGAGCGAGGCCAAGGCGTCGCTGGCCCGCGCCGGGATGGCCAAGTGGCTGCCGCACCTCTACATCAACACCAACGACTACATCTGCTGCTACTACAGCGACGCCGCGAGCGGCACGGCCACGGTGGCCGTCGGCAGCGGGGGCGGGAGCGGCACTAGCAAGGCCGGCGTGGCGAGGATGGTGGTTGTTTCCAAGGGGCCGAGCAAGTTCCTGGCCGCGCACGGGCTGGAGCAGTGGTGGGCTGACGATGTCGAGCTGCAGGTGGCGCTCAACCACAGCAAACTCGTCGACCGCCAGCTCAGGTCGCTCTACGCCCCGCCACCGGCCGCACCGGGCGCTCGGAGTTAGGCACGTGTGCCATGGTACTATCGACTTATTATCATCGTTTTTTTTTCGTTGAATGGTTATTGCCATTGTTGCTGTTCATGTTGAGATGGTTGGGTCCTTGCGGCTGGGGTTAATGATGTGCCCAATTCTTTTTTTACAAAAACAATTTGACATATTGGTTTATACTCTAATGTGTCATAATATAAGATGTTTCTGCAAGCTATGTTAACTTGCAAAAAGTCTTATATTGTGGAACAGAGAAAATACTAAATAAAATAGATCATATCAAAGTTGTCGTCTCTAACTTGCATGGCGTCTCTACCATTGACTATAAAGAAAATTGGGGAAGACCAAATCCACTCGCATAAGCTGCACTAATATTAAAGATTGTAAATAAGTGAGACCCTAAGGATCACATTCCTTTGATCACGGATGAATAGTTATTAGAGACTAAAAACCAAGGCTTATGGTTTGAATCTAGTTAGCAGGTGCACCCCGAGTCCCTTGAGAGGGTGGAGAGAGAGCATGGAACTCACCTGTAGCTACTATAGATAATTTGAGAAGATTTTTGCTGAAGTTAGGAAAGTAACATACAACTTAAAGTGTGGAGTGCTAACATCAAATGGACCTCGGGAAACAAATTGGAAGATTTGGGGTTGCTTGAAGAAATCTAATCTTTCTCCGGTGACCAATATGGCAGGAAATGTTTTACCAAAAGGGCTTTCTTTCATATCTATGATGAGGAAGATTTTAGTTTCGCATAACAGGTCTGGTGAAAGGTGATTGTTGCAGGGGTGCCAACACTAAATTTTTCCATTGGATGGAAAATGGGAAAAGGGGGGAGGGGGATACTATGTACACTTTTAAACATGGCTCCGATGTTCTGATGGGCACTGATCAAATCCTCTAAAATGCTACTGACCATTTGACTTATTATGAAATCTTTGTTTGGCGAGAAGGAGGCCTGAAGAATGATGTGGACCTGAAGAATGTTTATCAGAAGATGGTAACAAAGATTTGGATAGACCCTTTGCCAGGAAGAGACCAAGTTTACTATTAATAGCATGGCTCTTGGACCTGATGGAATTCCTATAGAGTTCTTATCAGTACTCAAACATGACCCGCTGACTCCTTTTTATGATTTCTACGTGCACAAGTTGGATCTACGCCAAATAATTAACTTCGAGGCTATAAATCTACTACCTAAAATTGATGATGCTGAAACCATTCAGTTGCCGAGAAGAAGTGGTTCTAGACCTTCTGTTGACACACATAAAAGGTGTTTCAAGCCATATTCGCTCATACACGCATGGTATGAAGGGCCCATGGCTAGGCTAACAATTTCCTTAAGTGTGCCACCCCTGGTTTCCTTATAAGGGACCACGCGACTAACAAAGGTGAAGGAGTCTAGAGCTTGTGCGCTAGGAAGGTGAGGATGGACGGAGGCGGCCATTAATCATGACCCCTAGAATGGCCTTCCTCGGGACAGGAGGGGGCAAGGGGACTTGTTGTGCTCAAGAAATCCTAGAAGTGCAGAATATTTCATTAGTAGATCCCATCTAGAACTCATGTGCAGATCTGATTCGAAGGCATTCTCATTCCAAGTGCCAGTGGTGTCACTCCAAGCAGCGGCGGTAGGCAGAGGTTACTTTAGGCGGTAGCAGCTGTTGAAAGGAAGAGCACACCAATGAGAGGAACACCCTTATCATTTTGGTGGTTTGTAATTTAGAACCTAGATTTCCTCTTACCTCAGGCTGGCAATGGGGATTACCCAGGCAGGTATTGGACTCTCATCCCCGTCACCATGAAAGCCTTCTCATGCCCATCTGTAAGTGCATCTAGTGTCCCTTAGTGATTTTGGTGTATTGAAGACTTATAGGTTAAGGGACTAATGTGTTTGTGAGTGTACACATGTTCTATAAGTCTATGAGGAGTTTGATCTTTATGATGAAAGTCGACCCCAAAAAATGAATGTCTTCAGTTGAAGACTTAGGTTTTCTTGAAGACTTTGAAAGTGAGGAAATTGGTGTGACCTTGAAGACTTGATATTCATGCGAGGATTATGAAGCGTGAAGACTTTTGTTTTCGTAGTTTCATTTTCTATTTCTTGAGTAATAGGAAACATGTATTGTTAAAGGGGGTCGAGGTAAAACTAAGGAAACACTTTCCAAGTGATGTTCATCTCAAAATCCTACACCTACCCAATCCTTTCGAGTGAAGCCATTGAAAATCTCATACAATTTAGTCAATTTCTTCAGTGACAGAGACAAAGATCATCTGGTCTCTGAGGAATTTATTCTGACCGAGGAGTTAGGAATTCGCCAGTGTGGATTGCCTACAAGTGAGGAACATGATAGCCCTGAGGAATTTGATACTCAAATTTCCGACCGTTGTTGTGCTATGCGCCAGCTGTCCCAAAATATCTACCCACCTAACGGTCATATCATTGAAGGGCATTTATGTCTTATCATCTCGGGCTGCTCCCTAGGCTATAAATAGCCGCCCCCTACAACCACTAGTTGGTTGGCTGCTCTGAGAGAAACTGACACTTGTCATTGAGAGCATCCCGTCCTCCGAGGACTTTGAGCGAAAATCATCAAGTGAGGAAAAACCCAAACCCAAACACCTACAAACCCAAAGTGCTTGAGCATCACTGAAGAGATTGTTCCTGTGTGGAACTGACGCTTGTTACCTTTGAGGACTGTGCATCCTCCAAACGGTTAGGTGTCATGGTCTAGAGCATCCAAGAGAAAATTGTGGATTGCTGAGTGACCGAGTCTATGAAGATTTGGAAGTCACCTGAAGACTTACCGCGAGTGATTGGGCGAGGTCTGTGTGACCTTAGCTCAAGGAGAATATGGTGAGGACTGTGTGTCTAAGACTGTGTGTCCTCAGGTTTAAATACCTAGCCGCTCCAACCAGACGTACAACTGTCATAGCAGTTGGAACTGGTCTACCAAAGCATCGTCTTCACCAAGCTACTGGTTCTATTTCCTCAACCCTTTCATTTCCTCATTCGTGTGTTGATGTACTTGATGGTTACTATTTGAAGACTTTGACTGAAGACTTTCTCAATTTCCTCAATCCTATTTCTTCAGTCACTTAGTCTTGAGCCTGCTTATCCTATTTACACGCTACCTGTACTCTGTGTATGTTTTGTTTCATCATGATGACTATGCTATTGCTAT